AAGTAGACAATTTAAGTGACGTCACTCAGCGTTTGTAATACCTTTATACATTAATAATAATTTATAATAATTGCTTGCACTTATATAGCGCTTTTCTGGACACTACACTCAAAGCGCTTTCTAGGTAATGGGGATCCCCTCCACCACCACCAGTGTGCAGCCCCACCTGGGTGATGTGCCAGTCCTCTCCCCACACACCAGCCCTCAGTGGGGAGGAGAGCAGAGTAATGAAGCCAGTTCAGAGATTGTAAGTCTTCCCTGTATTACCAAACCAGATGGTAATGGTAACCAAAATGAAAGATACACAATACGAAGCGCAGATCCAACACTGTTACTAACAATGAGAATCTGTTAACATTTCAACATGCGTGTATAACCTGTTGAGGTGAAACTGCTAGAGACACCCAGAAGGATTCATATTTCTACCCAGATAGTTTTTAAACAAACCAGCTCCTGCTTTGTTGATGCTTCTCCAACAGAAGCAGAGATTGCGCGATAAAAATATCCCCAGACTGTAAACAGTGGCATGTCAGTTTCCTGCTAAATGGTATCTGCTTTCCACCACCACAACAACAACATTTTTCTTGAATTGTTTTCTGTGTCGATAAAACCAGGATCCGAAGGTGGCTGCTGGGAAAACACCCCCTCGGTCCCCTCTCTCCACCCTGAGACCGAGTTCGATGGTTAGATTTTCAAAAGCAAGGGCAAGCGATCACTTGTGTCAGAGAAGTAACGCACACTCATACAGTCAACTATGTTGACACGTAAACCCCCCCAGATAAGTTACACAATAGAATGAACTGTGATTGCACCTGGACCAGGACTAGTTTAGAAACCTAAAACAACAAAGTCAAATGTTCAGATATCGCTGCAAGGCTGAGACTCTTTCAGACTTGCCGACAGTCTGACCAGTCTGGGTTCGGGGTGGTTTTTATTGTGACAGGGAGCACACACCTGATTAAAGACTGGATTACGCCTTGACTTGGGATTCGATGATTGTCTTGGGAGGGCAGCAGTCTTGTTTCGTATCATGGCATTGTTCAGTTCTTGGATTGTTTTATTGTTGTATGTGTTATTCGCCTCACGGGCAGTAGAGGTTAATTCAGTTTCGTACCCTGGTGCAGCGGTGTGCCCTGCTGCCTCACAGTGCTGGAGCCCTGGGTTCAGTTCCTGGGGGGCTGTCTGTGTGGAGTTTGTATGTTCTCCCTGTGTTCTCATGGCGCTCCAGTTTTCTCCCACAGTCCCAAGTCAGACTGGCAGGTTAATTGGCTTCTATGAGAACTGGCCCTGCTATGAGTGCGCCTGTGTCTGTGATGGACTGGCGTCCTGTCCAGGGCGTGCCCCGCCTTGTGCCTGTTGCTGGTGTTTGACGGTTCGGGGGGTTCCCACCCCTGCCGCTCCTGCCCTGCCAGTTCGCCCCTCACTGCCTGGGCTCGAACCCGGGTCTCCGGCGTCACGCAAGAGGGATCTCGCCAGCTGAGCTAAGGGAGAGCTCCCCCAGCCCGGGCGGCTGAGATCCCTGTGGTACGCAGGGGCGTATTCGTGACGCTTGCCAGGGTGGGCTCCAGCTCGCCTGCAGCCCAGAAGGGGAAGAAGCGGGTAGGAAAGGGGGAGCTCTTTCCTGGGGCCGGCGCAGGTGCGGGCAGTCCTCAGGGTGACCGTGCCCCTGCTGCCTCCTGCCGGGTCTTCCTCCAGGAATGCGAGATCACCCCGCGGGTGACGACTGCGAGGGCCCCCCTGCGCCGAGCTGCTTTCCCTCCCTCTTCCCGTTCCCACCCTGCAGGCGGATGTGTGGCGGTCTCTCCCTGCAGCTGCTCAGAGTCCCTGCTCTGACACAGCTCGCCCTGCGGCCTGTTTCTGCTTTTGACGCCTCTCTCTGGAAAACAACCCTTTTGAATAGATATTTCCCCTATTCACACACACACACACACACACACACACACACACACACGCGCCCGCCTCCCCCCCTCCCTTGCTCCCAAAACCCGGAATGCTCCTCCGGGTTTCACTGGAAAACCAGGATGGCCATGAGCTGTCACTGTGGTCACAGTGCATCGAGCAGGCAGGGAGAGCTGTCAGCTCTCAGGCTGGTTCTGCTCGTTCCCTCCTCCCTCTCTGCTCGCTGGCAGCCCGATTCTCTGCTTTTTTTTACGTTTTGATTTAGGCTGCATGGCAAAGCATGAAGGACAGCAGAACAAGAGAACCGTGAGTCCATTTCTTGTTTTTTTTTTGCCTTGCCTGAGTTTGGCGTCAGTTTTTAATTGGACCTGTGCTTTCCCTGGAAAGCTGCTGGCAGCTCCTGTGTGGCCACACGTCGCCGATGCTGGTTGGGCGGGTTCAGGTCGGGGGGTCAGAGACCGCAGGGTGGCCTGCAGTGGCAAGTGGCTCTTCTCTCCCCCGTGGGCGAAGGGTCAGGGCGTGCGTCGGGGGAGACACAACGCTAACAGGCCCAGTACAGCACAGCGCTTTCTGCCAGCTCAAGTGTAGCACAAGCACGAGGCTCGAAGATATATCACAGGCCCTAAAACATCACGTCTCACACCAGGCTGGAAGGTGCTACAAGACCCTCTTTAGTCCTTGTGTCAGCCTCTGCCTTAACAGAATAACTCAACACAAGTAGACAACGTTTGGATTTGCAGTGTCTTGCACCAGACCTCAGTCCTGTTTCGGACACTTGTGATGGTTTCAGTGTGATCGTGCCTGTTTGTGACGGTCAGCTTTGCCAGCAGACGGCTGTACTGCAATATAATCGCCACACACACACACACACAACAAAATCGCTTCTAATCACAGATGTACTGTGGCTGTGATCTGAATTCCCTCTGTCACTAGTGAAGATTCTGGAATGCCTCTTGGGCAGTTCTGGAATCAGAGTATTGCACGGATTTGTGGAATCAGTAGGCTGGGAGGAATTTGCTGTTCTGTTAAACACGGCCGTTCTGACAAAGTTGTAGCCGGTCCCTGTATCCAGGCAACCAATGGCCCTCAGCGGTTGCCATGGCGAGAATTCTTTTCAGTGATGTCATCACCGCCAAATCTCTCCTTTTCTCCCCTCCGCCGAAAGCAGGAATGAGGGGCTTTTAAAGGGGGCAGAAGACCCCCCACCCCCGCCCCTCTGTCTGCGTGGAGTGGAACTAACAAGCTCACAATAAGCAGCACTGAGAGCCGAGCCCAGCTCCAGCTGCTACACCCAGGCCACTTCTGGACTGGAAAACAACCACCATGACCAGGTCTGACAGGCACTGAGGAGCAGTCTAAAGACACCGCGTGCCCGCTCTGAAACTTACTGGGTCATTTTCATGTCTGAAACCCAACCTGAGTCCTCAGTCCCACAGCTCTCAAGGCACGTGAGTCTATACCACGAAGGATGTCGTGGGCAGAGTTTGTTTCGCATTAATCTCTTTATCTCGTGTATCAGGTCTGCTGCTCTGTGCCTAAGGAGCCTGGCAGAAAATCGGAAATGAAAGGTTTCAGCGCGCTGAGGGCACCCAGCGCTCATTCTAACGGCTCTTGTTAACTTTCATTGTGAGTTTCAGGTGCTGCGGGAAATAATCGCAGGAATTGTTCTCGGAAATAGATCTCAGCTCACAGGGCCCCCGGAGTACAGTTTGTCTCTGCTCCCCCCCCGATCGGGTGAGTCATGAGGAAATGAGCTCAGGTCCGAAGCACAATTCCGTGCAACCGCCGGAGCTGGAACCAGCACAATTCCAGTCATCGCAGCGGGAGGGGTTGCCAGGGATACCAAAGAGATAACAGGCTGCGCAGTTACAGCGGCGAATGAAGCAACAGGTGTTTCGCCTTAAATGCAAAAGTCACGTATGCGTTCTGGCACAGGGACGCGGCCCAGGAGTTTCTCCATCTGCTTTGTTCCCGCAACAGATCCGACCAGCAGAACCCAACTTCTAACACACCCGCCGTGTCCCCCTGTTACTCATACACCTCGGGAATGAATATGAGTTTCAGACCTGGACTGGTCATCTTCGCATGACACAGAAGATCGCCTGTGCAACTTCAATGTTCTCAAGATCCCAGCTGGAACGCAGCGGGATTGGGTTGACATCTTACGTAATCACACCCGAAGAAGGCTCCACGGCCGAAACGTTGTGTTCTCTTTCTTCTTTTTTTTCAGCATGGAATAAACCTCTTACTTGTGTCTTACGTAATCGATTGGTTCGATGCACTAAGAGCCGTGACAGGCGGCGGGGGAGACGTGCTGGCGGTGGGATGCATCCTCGCCCTGCCTGACCCTTGTTATCTGTCCGCCTTACCCCGCCTGCCCTGTCATTAACACGCACCTAAATGCGTGCCGAGGAGTCAGTCTCAGAACTTTCTGTGGGTTGGTTTTTTTTGTACCCGTCCACTCTCTCCCCCCACATTCGCGCTGATCGGAGCTCTGACCTCAGAGAGCGGGGGCGGGGTGGGGGTTGAGCCGGTTGTCTGACTGGGGTTGTGCGCTGACGTGCTCCCCAGGGAATTCGCTTTGTCCTGCGCGCTTTATGACTTAACAATTCGTTCTCCCGCGGAGTCCTGGTGCAGGCTCTCCCGGGGGACGTTTGGACACCCGAAGAATTAATCTCTCAACCCTCCCCGAGACGGTTATTTGTCGGGGAAACCGCGGCGGTCAATACCTGCTGCAGTCACAAACGTTATTCTGAACGCACGCCCCTCAGTGCGAGAGGTAAATCTCGTAGCTTTCTGCTTCTTTGTCTGGGCAGTCAGGGGAGCCTGGGACGCGGTGTATCTGTTGCCGGAGAATGAAAGTTTCCGAATATTATTAAAGAGTCTAAAACCGGTGAAAATGCACTTGGTGACCGCGCATTTGAGGAGTTAGTTTGCGGTGAAATAAAAAGACGAGAGAAGGTTCTGGAGTTCTCTCCCGCAGCCTACAGTAGCTCTGCTTTAGACGAGTACTTTGAAAATGAACCCCAAGAGTGAGGCGAAGACAGCGCAGAGCACCGAAACAGATGTTCGTGAACACCACAGAAGTTCACACAAGAAAATCTCAAGCATGAGAGCAGTTTATTTCTCTGTACTTTTTTTGTTTTACACGTCACACTTGAATTGATCAAACATGCATTTCTTTTTACCATTTCTTAAATACAAAAATAAATGCTTTCAGATGAAAAGGCGGTTGAAAAAAAAACGTTACACAGTTGCGCACGACACAAAGCCGGACTGGCTGTACAGGAGAGTTACGTGGTTTAGTTTTTCTGTCTTTAAACAGAGTATTTCTGCTCGGAGGCAGCCAAAACAACGAACAAGCAGCCAGGGACGAGCGAGACAAAGCTATGAGCTCGCTGCTGTTTCTAAAAACATCAGCCGCGTCCCTCTGTTACTGATGCACCTGAGGAATGAATATGAGTTTCAGACCTTAACTGGCAGCTTTGTATGACATAGAATTTCGCTTGAGCGACTAACTGTTCTCAAGTTCCCAACTTGAAGTTGCTGGATTTAGTTTCAGTGAAACATAATGACGGAAAAATGTCTTTGGGGGACAGCGGTATTAAGGCAGTGAGCCCCTCTTATCAACAGTAACACGCTTCCAGGAACACACACTTCACGTTCAGTTCAGTTACAGAATATTCAGAAATACACTTTTCATATAACATTTACAGATACAAATGCACAAGGGCTATCAAATCCCGAGTTACAAGGTGTACAACGGTTTAGGAAAATCGACGAGCTACGACTAAAATCTAAAGAAAATATATACTTTCAAATTCATAACAGAAGCTCCGCAGTCGAGCCTGCGGCTGAACCCGGGTACCTAGAAGAAATGCGTTCGACTGGTCGTGTCCTCCTCTCGGTTTCCTTGGATATGTCGAAACAAATTCGGTCACACCGATTCGTTTATTTGCGATCCATGACAAGTCGATGGGGGGGAAAAAAAGCGAATCGTCCCGATTCCAGTTCGGACTGGTCGGATCACATGTGCAAAAGCGTGATTTCCAGAGTGGGGCTCTGCTGGCAGTCGATGTGAGGTCTTCGATCAGCCCAGAGACCGACAGGTGCCGCTGGCTAAAAACACAACAGCTGCCCTTCACGGGGCGAGATGGGGGGCAGCTAAACGTAATTGCCCTTGTCGTAGTCGCCGTTCTGCGTGGCTCTTTTTGTAGGGGCGTATTTGACCGAGTAGGAAGAGCTCCCCGGCGGAGGACACGAGCAACAGAGCAGAGTCCCGCCGATCAGCAGGAGAGCCGTGGCCGCCCAGCCGATGTACAGCGCGGCTCCGATCTCTCGCTTCTGCGACGTGGGCACCTCGGGGTTGTAGAAGTCCACGATGATTTTGTTGGCCATCCAGCACAGGGGCACCAGCACGAACAGGCCGCTGATGATGTAGATCACCCCGCCGGCGTTCACTACGCGAGCTTTCACCTCCTCGCCCTTGATGCAGTTGGTGCACTGCGCGCCCGCGATGGTCACCATGAGCCCCAGCACGCCCATCACCGAGGAGATGATGGTGAGGGCGCGGGCCGTCTGCAGGTCCTGCGAGAGCGCCAGCACGGAGTCGTGCACCTTGCACTGCATCTGGCCCGTGCTCTGCACCACGCAGGTCATCCACAGCCCGTCCCAGATGGTCTGGGCCACCACGATGTTGCTGTCGATGAAGGCCGAGACCTTCCACATGGGCAGCCCGCACGCCACCATCACCAGCAGCGAGCCCACGATGCACAGCCCCAGGCCGAGTATCTCCAGTCCCGCAGAAACCATGTTCCCTGGCTGCCTTTGTGTCTTCGGCGTCTGCCTCGCAGAATTCAAAAGCGTCGCTTTTTCTAGGGGGGGGGGGGGGTCTTATTCTTGGCGCTGGAGTTTAAAACCTCCGCCGTGCCTTGGAAAGCGAAGAACTTTTTTGTATTCTTCTCACTCGCTTCGAGGGCACATCGCTGTCTGTGGGCTTGCTTTCTTTCAAACAAAACCGAAAAGGGTCTTTCCTTGGCGGCCGTCCCCGTGTTCCCTCCGGCTGAGACGCGTCGCAGACTGGAGTGCAGAAGTAAGCGGCTCGGAATATTTAACTCGCGGGGTGGGGATTTCCACGGGTGTGGGGAGCCAGGCGAGAGGGAGGCCGGCGCCCAATGAGGGAAGCCGGCATCCTCTCTCGGCCAATGGCGAGTGCGCTCGACAGGGAGTGAGAGACACAAAGCGCCGGCGATTTCCAAGAACAGTTACTCAGCGCTGAATGGGACAGGGGACAGGGGTGGGAGAGGCAGAGGGAATGGGGGGAAGAACACGTTCGTTGTTTCGTACATCCTGCCGTGGTTTTTAAGAGGGCTTGTTCGTAAAAAAAAAAACGTTCGCTTTCTGCTGGAACAACCCATTGAACTCTGCGGCGCTCGGGTGCACCACCATGGCATCTGGAAAGCAACAAGTGCGGGGCTCTTTCTTGCAGTTGTTACAGCCTCAGAAAACAAACGCCGAACCATATTCTTCTGTAATAACCGACTGTGTGTTATTTTATTTTACAACCAGGCTCGTTGCGGGTTTTTTTTTGTTTATCTGAAGGAGAAACGTGTGGAAGGCCGCGATTGTATTTAGTCACGGCGAGCATCCGTGCCCCTTCACTTTCTGTTACCGCTGACAAGGTGTCCGAGACCCCGAGCTCAGCCGGCAGACGCGGGGGTGATCAGGAGCGCGAAGGGTGATCAGGTCTCCTTTAACCCCCTCTTTCAGCATCTGCGCCTTCACCCACGAGCGTGTTCAGCAGATTTCGCATTGTTCCCTTTTCTGTTTCTTCTTCTACTTTATATGGTAGTCTGTGGAGGCTCGGGGCGAACAATAGCCGTGCGTTTCTAAAAATGTATTTCGGCGCTGCTGCAAACAATCGCGGGAGTTTGAAGCACCATCTTTCGGCTATGAATACTTTTTTTAAAGGACAATAAAAGCCCAGATCCCTATCAGACATCTGTACTGTGGTTTTCTTCGCTGCACCAAGCCCGACTTCCACACCAACACGAGGGGGAGCCTGGGGTACACCGGCCCCCTGACATTCTTTACCGAACTGGCTCCCTGCTGCCGCGGGTTCAGAAAAACAAGCCCTCGAAGACACGTCCACAGCCCTTCCTAAAGTTACCATTAGAAAACGACAACAGTGGGTTAGAAAGCAGTGTTTGCGCACTGACTGACACGCGCGATTCTTCTCGTCAATCCCAGAACACGACCCGAAAGCCGCTGTTTCCGTCTTGGCTTCTTGTAAATCGTTAACCCTGTCTCGAAGCCGCACTCCTCTGGGTAGTCCGGCGAAGTCCAGCCCGCCGTCTCCGGGAAAATCGCTTCCTCCCCGCCGGGCGCAGGGAGGCTGGAGCCGAGCCCAGCAGGGCCGGACCCAGTCCGTCACATGCGAACTCCACAGGGGCAGAGCGAGTCCACCACCCTCCGGCAGGGCTACCCAGTGCACTGCCCTTTACCACGGAGCGCAACAGAAAGGCACTGGTCTCTGTCATCCGTGGCTTGAACTGAACCCCAGAGCACAGCTTTGCGGCAGCTCATCCAGTGGCTACAAGCAGAGTGTGTGCCCGGACACCGAGGGCTCAGCTGGGAACTGGGAACCAGTGTGAAATGTGCTGAGAGGAGGGTTCCCTATTCCAGATGAGCTCCAGAGTCTGGTTGGTGACCCACCCGCTCAGACTGTTCCAGGAGATCACAGAGTGCACCTCCGGACCCCCAGAGTCACAGTCCAGCAGGTGTCCTGGGTCTCTTTTAAACTGCCCACAGCTGCAGACTCTTGGAAAAGTGCTCAGCTGTAAGACCCGATGATCAGCTCAATGAGGTCATGTAGGACAACATACAACATGACAACATACACTTGATTTCTTGTATTAGGAATTTGTGTTTTCGCATACCCCAGCTTGCTCTCCAGGAGACACACAGACAGGGAGAGAAGCTGGGGGTCAGAGCGCAGGGTCAGCCACTTATACGGCGCCCCTGGAGCAGTTGGGGTTAACGGCCTTGCTCAGGGGCCCAACGGAGTAGGATTCCTCTGCCGGCCACGGGATTCGAACTGGCAACCTCCCAGCCACAGGCACAGATCCTGAGCCCCAGAGCCACCGCCCTGCTGTGTGGCCGGACTGCGATGGTACAGGCTGTCCAGCCCTCCAGCACAGGAGCTGTGCACCACTGTGCTAGACCCTCTGTTGCTCTAATATCTGTGCTTCGTATAGTTGTCTTTTTTATGATGGCTTGCACTGCTGTGTCACAGTTCCAGGGTCGGTGGTGACTCTGGCCAAAGACACCTGTCTGTGTGGAGTTTGCGTGTTCTCTACAGTCCTGCGACTGGTGTCCCTTGTACGTGGGCGCAGGCGGACAGGCTCCAGCTTGTCGCGCCCCCTGCCAGGGTCAGCGGATTTGGGATAATGGGTGGAATCATCTCACTCCTGCAGCTATCCGTCCCTCGGATTGGAATTGTGCTGAATTATTGTGTTAATTGTTTTCTGTGTGTTCTTTGGCTCTAGATCGTGTTTTGCTCCAAAAAAACCTAAGTTTTTGATTGTCTTGGAAGTGAGTCACCTTGGATAAATAAATACTAATGGGAGGAAATCGCAAGCTGCTTCATCTGTAGCTGCGTTTCTTCTGACATGTGAGAGCCTGACCATGGCGGACCCGGAGAGAGGGAGCTCAGACTGCACTGGATTCGCAGTCCGGGCTTCAGGCTGCTTTTCAAGTGCATTGAGCTCCAGACCTGGTCACAAAGCCCTCATGAGCACGCGCAGTGCTGGATTCATCATGGGACTTCTGTGCTGCTACTGGGGATGCACCTTATTTTCCTACGGGTTCCTATGGATCTCACATGTCCTCCAGGCTTTTGCGGTCCCGGACTTCGGATTATAGTCCAGCGCAGTAAAGGACAGGGATGTCACGCTAAAATCATATGAAACCCTTGTAGACTGTGTCGTATGCAGTACAAACACAAACAGGAGCATAGATCTCCCCCAGAACGTACGAACTGTTACAAATCAGAGGGGGGCTATGGGTCCATCCAGCTCATTTAGTAATTAATTGATCCAGGGACTAGCTGTTTTGCTGGAAGCAGCAGGGTAATCAGTTTTGACTACATGGCTGGGAAGCTTGTTCCAGACCCCCACAACCCTTTGTGCAAAGACGTTTCTCCTGTGTCCGGTTTTAAACTCACTTCCCTGGTGTCCCCTGGTAATCCCGAAGTAGGACATTAAACATAGCGGCAGCTGTGCCGCGCTGTCAGGTCCGGTCTCCAGACCCGACACGAGCGCCTGTGCGGATGAAATCCGGAGGCCCCCAAGGCAGGCCCCTCCTCCGTTCGCACTGGCACACCCCCGGAAGGAAAGCGCTCTTTCCCAGTGCTGCCCGAGATCGCCTTCCATCATCTCCAGAGCTCCGGGAGCTGTTGTGTCTAAGGGAGAGGTGGGATTGAGCCGGTTTGTTTTGTGTTCCCAGTGGATGCACTTTAGGCTTTCCGTCCTGCAAACCCTGGGAGTCAAGGATGAGTGTGGTTTTCACAGGGAGAGAACTTGAAGTACATCACTCGCCACTGGAAGTGCTTTGTACAAACTGTCCATAGGAAATCAGCTTGGAAGGTTAGCACTGTGTACTTATTGAGCCGACACAACGCACAGTGATTGAATGATGCTCGCTGTGTGGTCTCAGCGCCTTTCTGTAATCCATGATAATTATCCTGGATTTGTTCATGATGCATAAGATAAGATAAGATAAGATAAGATAAGATAAGATAGGATAAGATATATATAATATTTTTATGGACACCCAGCACTCCTGAACATTTAAATAGAATAGAATGCAAAAAAGAGAGAGAAGAAAAACATGGCACATTATACTATTACAAAAAATAAGAAAAACATTGCACATTTTACTATTTAAAAAAATAAGAAAAATATTGCACATCACTCTACACTCTACAGTATAACACATAACAACATGTAACATTTATAACACATCACAAAAACATATTGCACTCAAGTGCAATTTTGACTCAGAGTCAAAATTGTGTTTATCCTTGACATTTGTGTTGATGGCTTTAATGGAGAGTGGAATACAGGAATGTTTGTATCTGTTTGACTTTTATTTGGGAACCCTAAAACGTTTGCCAGAAGGAAGATGATATTCAGAGTTGAGGATGTGGGAAAGATCTGATATAATTTTTCCTGCCTGTTTGATTAGGGAGTTTTCACAGATTGTCTGCAGGAAGGGGTGCTGTTTCACTCCCATGACCTTCAAAGCTGTCTGGATGAGGCGGGTGATTTGCGATTTAAAAATGAACTGATAGATGACCAAACCACACGGTAATACCATATCTGATAATGCTCTCGATTACAGCACGGTAGAAGAGTAGGATTACTTCCTGTCGAACTCCAAACACCCTTAGTCTTCGCAGGAAATATAAGCGCTGCTGAACTTTGGAGCAAACACTCTCCACATGAGTAGACCAGCACAGGTTATGGTCTATGTGTACACCTAAGTATTTATATGAGTCAACCTGAGTGATAAGTTTGATGTGGACTACTACCTGTGAGTGATCACCAACTGTCCTGGGATCGAAAACTATTTCTTTTGTTTTATTAGCATTCAAAATTAGGCTGTTGTTGTCACACCATTGCAGAAATCTTATAATGTTATGGTTAAAAGACATTTGCTACAGCTTATAATCAATAGATGGGGCTGCAGCAGAGCTGAAGTCCACAAACAGCATCCGAGCATAGGCATTGGGGTCCTCTAGGTGTTTTAGAATAAGATAAGGGGGAGTAGTGTCTCACAAATATGTAGCGTTCTCTTGGAGATTTCACCTGAGGGACGAGAGCCGAAGTTGAAAGGGTTGTCATTTTTCTGTTGCAAGTTGGTGCCGTTTATGAAGAGCCCTGCTTTCCGAAGGCTAAGGCTTTCTTTAAGGACTCTTTTAGGAGCGAAAATCAAACTTGCATCCCTGCCTGGTGCCACACGTCGGTCCCCCTGTGTTGTGTGTCAGCCTGCACTGCTGTAGCCTTGACCTACTGTGCCTCCCTGGCTTAACAGTGCGCTGCTGTGCTGAGCAGTGTGAGAGCAGAGAGCAGCTCAGGAAACTGCTCACATGCCTTCAGGAGAATCAAAACTCTTGCACAGAAACCACGAGATGCAGGAAGGTCCAGTCATTCTGAAGTGCATCATTTTCCCATAATTAAACTGCAAGATGAATATCACTGTCTATAATTACTTATGATCATCTTAAATTAACTTCCTGTCATTTATCAAGCGTCAAACAGAAGACCAGAAAAAAAACCCATCCTCAAGGAAACTCTCAACTTTTAAAGAATGTATTTTGCTCAAGTGTGAAACATAACAGGAAACTTGCAAACCCAAGGGAGAGGGAGGGAAATGGATCTGGCCAAACTGGGCTTTCTGTGTCACAGAGGGCTTTACTCGTCAGGCACCTGTCCAGCTCAGGGAAGACATCACCAGAGCTGAGCCCTGTGACCCCTGACCCATAGTGTTCCAAACATGAGAGTACCTACATTGCCAGAGTAGATAGACTATGACAAAAGAGAATTGTGGACACATGGTTGGGCTCCAAGTTATATTTAAAACATAAGAAAGTTTGAAAATTAGATGACACCATTTAGCTTTTTTTCTATTCTGTAACTACAGGGTTAACCACCACTAAGTCCATAAGCAAAAATCAGTGTCAAAAACTACAACAAACACTTTACAAAACTCATCCCACTGATAATACCAAGGGATATCAAAACCACACTAATGTACCTGTCCATTCTTAGTTCAATCTGGTTTCTGATTTTCTGGCTCCAGGATTCTCAAGACCCGCCAGCTTATCAGGATGCTGTTCAAGTTTTGTTTTTGTTGCTCTGCACTTGTTTAGTCTGAGACACCAACCTGTAATTTTGCTTCTAAATTTAACAGTGTGATCCGTGTGGCAAACCTACTGTTTGTAGTGTAACCTACATGACATTAGAGTTCCAGTCGCTGCCATTTACAGAGAAGAGCTGTTCTCTGATTTCTGTCTTGTCTCTATCCCCTCCCCCAGGTTTC